GGGGTCCTCAGGCCCCTCAGTAAGAAACGGTACTTGTACCGAGATCAAAATAAATGATGGTGTTATTACTCGCATGCACTACAAACAGTCTGTAAATTTGTGCTCACTTTGAGCATTCTTACTTTAACATTTATAAAAATCATCACCTACTAAACTGATAATACATAAACTACTACATCTTCTCTAACTTGTTATTTTCCAGCTGTTAGGATATTTTTCTTATTTCTTAATAGTCTCATTCATCTTACCTGAAAGAATTTCGTCAAGGTTGTAATTAAATTTTTTTGGTCTCATTATTGGGAGTTCTTCACTTGAGTGTTTTATGACACAACTGACTTCATTTTTTGACACTTCATCATCTTCACACGTCACAGATTTTTCAGAGGATTTGTCAGACTCAAGAAAGCTCTCTTTAGAATTTTCTGAAGAATCGCTCTTAGCAGGAATTCTCAAGTGTAGATTTACTTCAAATATTGGTGCATATACTTTTCTCAAATCCTCAAACACTTTAATACTATTCAAAATCTAATTTAATAGATATGTTAGAGTTCTAATGACAGTTTTTAACTAAAAGAACACTTCTTGTAGTTTAGAATACAGACCTAAATTTTAAATGATAAATAATAACTTCAGTATAACTGAGTAACACTGTGTTACCATATAACTGATATTTACATGTTAAAATAAGTAAATTAATATAAATGATATAATGCAGTATTCCACACCCTCCAAAAAACTGTGTAAATTGATGGCAGAGTGGCCACATATTAATCATTTTAGAGCTTATTAAAAATATAAATTCTTAGGCCCTATCCCAAAAAGTTCTGAGTTAAAGATTTAGGGGCAGGGCCCAGGAACCTGAATCATTTAAAAGCTGAACAGGTGACTCTACTTGTATACTCAGGTTAAGTTTACAAATCAGGAATGTATTTCAAATTCATTACTATAGATCCTACATCTTCACTTTCACATACACGTATTAATGTAGGCATCCCTACAGAAAATAACAGGAGTATTTTAGGTATAAATACCTTATTTACACAATTACTCTTAGGCTCTGCCTAGGCATGGGTTCTCGATTAGTCCTTCATATCCCATAAATAATCTGTAGTGCTTGGGGCATCTAGTTTGTCAGTATGGTCCTCTGAATCACCTTTAGTTCCAGCCATTAACAAATAAAGAATTTTATGAAGGCAGTTAACAGTATAAAAACGCCATTAGCACCCTATTAAGCTGCTGGGGAAAGANTACACAATTACTCTTAGGCTCTGCCTAGGCATGGGTTCTCGATTAGTCCTTCATATCCCATAAATAATCTGTAGTGCTTGGGGCATCTAGTTTGTCAGTATGGTCCTCTGAATCACCTTTAGTTCCAGCCATTAACAAATAAAGAATTTTATGAAGGCAGTTAACAGTATAAAAACGCCATTAGCACCCTATTAAGCTGCTGGGGAAAGACCCTGAGTAGCTGCTGAAGGTGATTTGCAAGCCTTAAAAGTTCAACGTGGAGTAGAGTGTGGGAATGGAGTCAATGGAATTGTAATAGATAAGTATGACATTGGGGGTGGGAGGGCAGTGGATGGGGGACGGGGGTTGTTACTTTATGAGGGATGAAAAGGATAACTATTGCATTGTTCTGTACACCTGAATCTAATAATAAAAAATAAATAATTAAAAATAAAAGGCAGAAGGCCTAAGTTAAACCCCCCCGCAAAAAAAAGTTCAATGCAAATGGGTACCGAGTTTTTGTCTGCGATGATGAAAAAGTTCTGGAAACGCATTGTGGCGATGGCTGCACAATATGTTAATCCTCCATTGGGCACAACTGATCTCACAGATTCATTGCACACAAATTTTCAAATATCTAACAGTTGACTCAGGTATCGTCACTCATCACTTCCATATCTTCCCCCTCCACCGTAACCTATTGCCAGTCGTGTTTGTGACTTAGTACAGTAAAGACGTATTTCGTAGCGGCATCTTTGTGTGCAATGAATCTATGAGATCAGTTGCGCCTGACGGAGGGTTAATGTACTAATGCCACTGAATCTGTACACTGAAAAATGGCTACAGTGGTAAATTTTATATTATGTTTTATCACAATAAAAAAGTTCATACAGGTAATTCCAAATAATGCTACTACACAGCTTATACTGGAAAATAACCTCTACTGTGGGAATAATTGAACCTCAAGCCCTATATACCTTCTAATATTATAGTATATAAGTATTCTGTATAGAATCATTCTTGAAGTATGTATAGTTACCATTTGATATAGCATACTTCCATCAAATTCGTAAGTATACTCGACACAGTACTTACAGTGTCTGATACAGCACAGTTGCTATTTGATGAATGCTTATCATGTCCCACAGCAAACAAGTTACCTTCACCTCCTCCTCACAGTAACGCGGAGTTACAAACTATCACTCCTATTGTACGTGAAAAGAAACTGCGACTCTGGAAGCCTATGTTAATTTGTCAAAGGCTGTATTGCTAGCGTATGGTAAGGTTGGAGTTCAGTCATGGGTCTGTGACTCCCAAGTCCATAGTTAAAATATGAACTGGGGCTTGAAAATCTTTTTGGAAGAAAGACATTTTTTCACTGTTACGCTTATTCTGCCAACAAGAATAGGCCAATAAACCATTTGATTTCCTCTAAATTGTAAACTGAATAAAACGATAAATTCTACAGCATGCAATGGGGAGTGGGGGTGGGGTAGGGGAGGGTTGGCCCCTCTCTCTCTCTCCTCAGAGTCAGATCTGTATTTCCAACATCCTAACAGAAACTTTCACCTGGTTGCCCCCAGGTAC